TGTGCGCGCGCGCGCTTCTGTCAATCACCTCCACAACACGTGGTCCATGTGTGAGATGTGTGATGGGGAGTGGTCTCAGTGCGTGTGAGAGTATGTGTGGTTGTGTGTGTGTTTGTTACCTGTGTGCAAACCAGGGTGCATTCTTCTTGTGAGCGTACATCTGTGTGGGTGTTGAGGTAGGTGTATGTGTTTTTGCACATGTGTGGGCATGCATGCACACATTCACCAGGATGTATCCCTGTGAGTGACTTCTGCAGTGTGGAGTCTGGACACGTGTGCATGTGCAAATATGAGTGTATTCCCACTGTGATATGTACACACAGACTTTTCACTGCACATGTGTGTGTAGACACACATGCATGTGCACAAGGATCTGGGGGACCCCTGCCCAGTCTGTTGGGTGCGTGTGCATGTGGGTGCCCTGGCTGTGTTCCCTGCTGTGATGGCTGCAGCACAGATTTGCACACCTGCGTTCTCGTGCACGGAGACCTCCTCAGCCCAGCACCTGTTTGCATGCACGTGTCTGCATGTGCATGCTCTGGGGTGCATTTCTTCTGGTCCCGGCATGTGGATGTGCACCAGGTGAGTGTTCCTTCTGGTCATCCCAGCAGCGCTGTGCATGTGTGTGTGCATGGTGGCTGTGTGTGTGTGCATGTGTGAGAGAAAGCGAGAGAGACCCAAACAGCTGGTTGTGTGAGAGAGACAAAGAGAGGGACCTGGACACGTGCACGTGTGTGTGTGTGTGTGTGTGTGTGTGTGTGTGTGTGTGAAAGAGATGTGTGTCTGTATGTAAGGCTGTGGTGGGGGGAGCCAGAAGGCGGGGGGGGGGGTGAGAGAGAGAGAGAGAGACTGGACACCTGGGTTGCGTGTGTGTATGTGTGTGTGAGAGAGGGAGACCTGGATGCCTGGGTTCTGTGCGAGACACAGCAGCCTGGGTGCAGGCAGTGTACCCACACGCACTGGGGCACGTTCCAGTCACTAATCTCAGCGGCACAAGGTCTGCGTGTGTGCTTGTGTGGCCTGAGGGCAGTTCCCGTGGTGACCGCCGCAGCCCAGGGTGGATGTCTGTGCACACACAATTGGCGTGTTCCTGCAGGGTCTGTGCACTGGTGCGTGCTCCTGCCATGAGGTTGAGAGCTCAGGGCCTGTGTGCGCATTCTATGCATTATGCCACAGCCATGCACAACACATGGTACACATGTACACTTACACATGCGCACACGCTCTGCATCTACCGCAGAGCGGCCACACACGTGCTTACTGTGACGCACATGGTACCCTGCACGGATATGAGCACACTTACTCCCCACTCAGTGCACTGGGAGTTGCACACGGCTCACAAGCATGATGTGCCCCAGCTGTGCACACTGGAGATGTGACACAACTGCTGTCACACCACAGTGTAGACACCCAGCACAGCTTCACACACACCGATACACAACACGGCATAGACAGCCGTGCATGCCCAACACCATGGACAGGCTGCCTCAGTGTGTCATGGTGAGCATGCACAGCTACTCATGATACACACCCAATGCCTCACAACACTACCACACAAGCCCTGCACACACCAACACCTGGGGCCCGAGATGGATTCCTCGCAACAGCTGCACACATCCAGTGCTCTCTTGCACGAGCACACTCATAAGCATGCACCAGCACTGCACATGCTTTGCACACTTCCCCACCTGTGGCTACGGGCAGCTTCACACAGGCATGTACAAGCCAGGGAAATGTGCTGTGTTGGCATGCTTCCACTCGTGTGACACATGGTTCACACAAGAACCTCCTTAGCCCTCATGGACGCTGAGCACAACAGCCTGTCCCTTGCAGAAGCACACAGTGTAAATAGGGGGGCATGGGGCGCTGGTGTGGGGGGGCACAACACACAACCTGTCAAGCCCCCACCCCCTTCTGCCCCCATCCCATGGTTTATGGCAGCGGTCGCTAGGCAATTATCCCTGGATCTGGTTGCCATGACAACCGGACTCTGGGATGCTGGCACACTGGGTCCCGGGGGGTGGGGGGGCACAGATTAATTGTCCCGGTGTCTCGTGTGCAGGAGCTAACGACTTCAGTGCCGGAGCTGTGGGGGAGGAGCAGGCATGGGGGATGTGACAGGCGTGAGCCCTGGTGCACTAGGCATGGGCCTGTGTGCGCATGGGGCTGCGTGTGTGAGCCCTGGTGCACTGGGCCTGGGCATGTGCCCAGGGGCTACTCGTGTGAGCTCTGGTGCATAGGGTTTGGGTGTGTGCATGCATGGGGGCTGTGTGTGTGAGCCCTGGTGCACTGGGCATGGGCCTGTGCATGAATGGGGGCTGCATGTGTGAGCCCTGGTGTGCTGGATGCAGGGGTGTGTGCATGGGGGCTGTGTGTGTGAGCCCTGGTACACTGGGCATAGGTTTGTGCATGCACAGGGGCTGTGTGTATGAGCCCTGATACTCTGACAGTGGTTCCATGTTTGCACAAGGGCTGTGCACATGAGCCCTGGTGCACTGGTTGTGGGCATGGGGGGGGTGTATGTGTGTGCGTCCTGTTGCTCTGGGTATAGGCCCAGGTGGGCACAAGGCCTGAGCTTATGACCCCTGGTATACTGAGCATGGCTCCATGTGTGCACATGTGACTCCTGATGCCCTGAGAATGGGCCTGTGTGTACATGAGAGCTGTGCATGTGACTCCTAGTGCACTGGGCATGGATCTGTATGTGCAAGGGCCCTGTGGGTACATGTATGCCCTGAAGCTCTAGGCACAGGCGCATGTCTGCACGCAGGATGGGTGTGAGTTTGCATGTGCCCAAGGGCTGCGTGTGTAACCTCAGTCTGTATGTGCAGAAGGGCTCCATGCATAACCCCTGGTGTGCTTGATTGGGTCCGTGTGTGCACAAGGGCTGGGTATTCTAGAGTCTTAGTGTGCTGGGCATAGGTGTACATGTGCACAAGGGCTCTGTGGTGACCCCTGGTGCACTGAGTGCACGAGAGCTGCACATGTGACCCCCGGTGCACTGGGCATGGGTCTGTGTGTGCACAAGGGTTCTGTGTGTGATCCCTGGTGTGCTGGGTACAGGTCTGTGTGTGCACGAGTGCTGCCCATGTGATCCCTGATGAACTGGGTGTGGGCTTGTGTGTGCACAAGGGCTGGACTTACAAGAGACCAGGTGACCTGGACTCAGTTCTGTGAGCGCATGTGCCTGGGCCTGTATACACATGAGTGTGTACAAGCACATGGGGCAGGTGTGAGGGGCATGTGTGAGTGTGTAGGACATGGCCATGACCTTGCTGCAGGGAGGTGGTTGGACATGGGGCCGCTGTCAGCACGGCTGCTCTACCCTGTCGGTGGCCTTGCATGAGTGTACAAATGTAATAGTGCATTGGGGGGCAAGTGTGAGAGCACTCGTGTGTCCTGAGGGAACTGCCCAGGCAGAGCTGTGCCTCAGGGCCACAGGGGTGACGGCACTGCTGTGCAGGGCGTGGGCATGGGCGTGCCACATGTGTGTCGGGGTATCCCGGCATGCGAACATCAGCATACTGGGGCATGGGTGGTTCACATGAGCGTGCAAGCATGTTGGTGCACAGTGTGCGCAAGCAGGATCCAGGGCTGGCCCCTACACCCTCCTCCCCAGGCCCAGCCGCAGCTCCTGTCCGTTATACTAGCCCTGAGCCCCCTAGAGCACAGGGGGGCAGCCAGCAGGGGGTGCTGTGCCGGGGCAGCCCTGATGCCCCTTGGAAGCTGGGCAGGGTCAGAGTGTGGACGGGAAACTGCGGGCGCTGATGCCCAGCCCTGAGGGGCAGCCAGCAGGGGGCGCTCTGCCCAGGACGCCTGGGCTCTAGCCTGTCTCTGGAGGGGGGATCTTGGGCTCTGTCCCTGGTCCTGAAAGGGAAGGCTGTGCTGTGAGTTACCGGCTGGGAGCCGGGACGCCTGGGTCCTCCCGGGGGCTGGGAGGGAAGAGGGGCAGGGGGCCGGGTGCCCGGACGCCTGGGTTCTCCCTGCGCCCGGGCGGGGGCTGGTGGCTTAGAGAAGGGGAGGCCGGGAGCCGGGACGCCTGGGTTCTCTTCCAGCTCTGCCCAAGACGGCGGGTGAGTCCTCAATCCCCCTCCCCTGCCCTTACTTCACGTGCGCTCACAGCCAGGCGCGTGTGCGCACTCCCCTTGTGCCCGCAGCCCCTCCCTCAAGCCCTCGCCAGCCCCTGGCGTGCCCAGTTGTTGCACGTCCCCCTTCTCACAAGCCCGGGCTTGTGCACACCTCATCTTCATGCTCTCCCTGTGCCCCCCGGGAGCTCATGCCCCTTGTGCCCACATGCTCACTGATCCCTGGTCTCCATACCTTGCCACCGTCCCCTGTGAGCTCACATCCCTCATGCCAGCTCCACCTTCTTGCACGCTGTCAGCGTCCCCCACGAGTTCACACCTATTGTGTCCATACACTCTCACCGTTCCCCTGTGAGCTCATGCCCCTCTTGCCAGCTCCCCCTTCTTGCACGCTGTCAGTGTCCCCTGTGAGGTCACACCCATGGTGTCCATACAGCAACACTTCCTTGTGAGCTTACAGCCATGGTGCCATACACTGACACCGTTCCCTGTGAGCTCACACCCGTTGTGTCCATATGTAAACACCACTGCCCATGAGCTCACACCCCTCGTGCCAGCTCCAACTTTTTACATGCTGTCAGTGTCCCCCATGAGCTCACACCCATTGTGTCTGTACCCCAACACTGTTCCCCATGAGCTCACACCTCTCATGCCAGCTCCATCTTCTGGCACACTGTCACTGTCCCCTGTGAGCTCACACCCATTGTGTCCATACCCCAACACAGTTCCCCATGAGCTCACACCCCTCATGCCAGCTCCACATTGTCGCACACTCAGCATTCCCTGTGAGCTCCATACCCTGACACCATTCCCCGTAAGCTCACACCCCTCCTGCCAGCTCCCCCTTCTCGCACGCTGTCCCCTTGCCCTCTCCCCCATGCTCGTGGTGCTGACGCCTGCCCTCCACCCATGCAGGGAAGGAGGAGTACGTGGCGACCTTCAAGGGCAACGAGTTCTTCTGCTACGACCTGTCACACAACCCGATCCAGAGCAGCACGGACGAGATCACGCTGTCCTTCCGCACGCTGCAGCGCAACGGCCTCATGCTGCACACGGGCAAGTCGGCCGACTATGTCAACCTGTCACTCAAGAGCGGCGCCGTCTGGCTCGTCATCAACCTGGGCTCGGGCGCCTTCGAGGCCCTGGTGGAGCCCGTCAACGGCAAGTTCAACGACAACGCCTGGCACGACATCCGCGTCACCCGGAACCTGCGCCAGGTAGGCCGCGGCCACGGCCCCCGGCGCCCCCACCATCTCTGGGGACCAGAAAGGGGTCTTTCCCCCCAAGCTATGCCCCCTGCCCGGACCTCTGTGCCTGGGCTCTTCCCCCAGCTGGAGCCCCAACTCTTGGGTTCGCCCTGGCCCGGACGCCTGGTTTTCCCCCAGCTTGGGGACCCCCAAGTGGCAGCTCCTCCCGGCTTGGGAGCAGGAGGGGGTGGTGCCTCCACCCCTCAGTCCTCTCTACCTGGGCCCAGCTGTGGGAGGGGAGCACAGCAGCTTGGTGGGTCACAGTGGGCATAGCCCGGATGCCTGGGTTCCCCCCCTGGCTTCCCCCTTGGCTTCCCCTCTCCCATGACTCTTCCCTGCCCGCCCCTCAGCCGGCTTCTGCCCCTCATGCTGTGCTGCCCATCAAGGGGGCACATCTCTGGCGCTAACTCCCCTTGCACGTTCCAGGAGGGCCCCCCCACCCCACACGGTGCCCAGACCCCAGGGTCCCCACTGCTCTGTTGGGGCGTCATGTGCGTGGCGGGGCGGGGGGCCTTGCTTTTGGGTGTGGGTGCATTAGACCCTCGTTTGGAGGTTGTGGGGGGAGACGGGGTTGGCAGAGTTTGGAAAGGGGGTCTGGGTGGAGCCTGGCCCCGGCCCCACGTGTTGCCGCCCCTTGAACCCAGCTTTTGACTCTTTCTCTCTTTCTCTCCCCTTTTTCCGAGCAAGGTTAATTCATGAAAGGGAGAATCCCACCCCCGCCCCC